CCCCCCCCCATTCAACGTACGCCCCGCCCCCCTCACCCAGGCCATGGACCCCAGGAAACTTGGCTTCCCGGACCAGATTTTGTCGCCGAGGCGACGAGTTGTCCCTGGATTTGGTCTTGGCATTAGCATTTCTCTTATTTTTCTTAGCTTTCTTTTGCTTTATAGATCCTCTCGTGGCAACTATTTCTTCCCTGTTTATTACCGCTCCACTCCCGTTGATTCTCTCTTTTCTTCCTGGTGTTTCTCCTTTTCATCTCCGTCCTTGTCTGATTTAACTTCTAAATCTTCCAAGTTCCCGGCCCATGCTGCTCCCACGCCACCCGTTCGGCCAATTCCTCCCCAAATGGCGTCGCCCTCCAATCATACGCTCAACACCAATGGGAGCTTTAAACTCAATGCCCATCCGCCAAATGGGTCGGGAATTGGAAATGGATCCATTCCCACCCGAGGAAAGTTGGGCCCTGGGAAGGAAAATGAAGAGAGAACCCCGAGTAACTCCATTTCTTCGAAAAACGATACTACTCTATATCAGGAGGAGAATATTCATTCTTCCAATGCTGACGACAAGAATGCGTCAGAAGGAAATGGAGGAAGAAACTCAAGCGAGAGAATTCAAATTACCAACAACTCTCAACCGATGGGCGCATCAAATGACAGCTTCGATGAGGAATGTGACATCTTTGATGGTAAATGGGTGAGGGACGATTCGAAGCCATATTATCCTCCAGGTTCTTGCCCTTACATTGATAGAGACTTTGACTGTCATCTTAATAGGAGGCCAGATGATGGATATGTCAAATGGAAATGGCAGCCAAATGGGTGCAACATTCCAAGGTATTTCTTTAATCGAATCCCCTGGCCCTGGTCCTTCAATTACTTTCATGAATATGCTTGTTCTTCTTGATATTCTGCTGATTAGAATGGTCCATGTCTGGTGAATGAATGAATGAATGAAATGCTTCTCCTCAGTAATACATTTGAGTTTATAAACCTCTTTCCTAATATCCCTTTTGAACTCTGGTGCTTGCAGTCTGAACGCAACACATTTTCTAGAATTATTGAGGGGAAGAAATCTGGTGTTTGTTGGGGACTCATTGAATAGGAACATGTGGGAGTCTCTGGTGTGCATTCTTCGTCATAGTATTGCCCACAAGGAAAGAGTGTATGAGATATCTGGAAGGACAGACTTCAAGAAGAAGGGCTTCTACGCCTTCCGGTTTGAGGCAAGTTTCAAACCATGTTTCTTCAGTTTGTGATGTTTTCAACTCATCTTTGTTTTGTTTTGCTGTATGTGCAGGACTTTAATTGTTCCGTGGATTTTGTTAGTTCTCCATTCCTTGTTAGGGAATCTACATTCGAGAGAGACAACGAAACGATGGAGACATTAAGATTGGATGAAATGGACGAGACGACCGAAATGTACCGTGATGCGGACGTTCTAGTGTTTAATACAGGCCATTGGTGGACTCATGAGAAAACCTCTAGGGGGTACGTATTGTAGTGATCATCATCTTGGCTGGATCCAAGGTTTTGAGGGTTTTGTGGTTTTGAGGGTTTTGAGGGTTTTGTGGTGAAGTGTTTTTGTTTCCCTCCTGTTTTGCAGGGAAAACTATTACCAAGAAGGCAACCATTTGCACCCGAGACTGAAGGTGTTGGAAGCGTTTAAGAGGGCTCTCACCACTTGGGGTCAATGGATAGACAACAACGTTGATGGAAATCGAACTCTGGTTTTCTTCAGAGGGTATTCATATTCGCACTTCAGGTATGTATCAAAGAATTGGAGGCGTGTGTGTTTGAAAATGTGTGTTTGAAAAATGTGTGTGTTGGCAGTGGTGGGCAGTGGAACTCGGGGGGTCAATGCGACAATGAAACG